AGTTGATTTCTGCCAAAAATGTGACTTTGTTTTGCATTCGGAATCCCTCGGTAGCGTTTCTGGATCATACCTGTACCTGTATTTAGAAATCGGGTTTGTTATTCAGTTTTCTTTCGTAGTTTACAAACAATTAGACTGGCTTATTACGAAATATAATAATAGAATAGTTTATTTAATCACTTACAGAATATAAAGAACACCAGTTGATCTCAATGTTTGATGTATCTTCATTCAAAACATGGTAACTGTTTTCCTTTTTGTGTGAACTCAATAGCGTGAGGGATGAGGATTAAATTTTCAAAAAAAATTGTAAGGGAATATTATTAGTGCATTGCTGTGTGTGTTTACAAGATAGTAGATGACAGAAAAGTTGATTACATATATTTACAAAATGTTGCATCATTGTCATATCAAAAAATGTTTTTTTTCCCCAGGCAGTTAAGTTTAAAACAGGAATTAATTTGTAACTCTTAAATATTAAGATACGGTAACTGGTATTTTCTTCTTTAAAATTTTTGGGCAACCAAATTTTGGGTTCGGACAAGTCAAACCTGTGGTTCACTTGCCCAAAGGACAAGTGAATATGAAAGTTAATGTCTATCCCTGGACTTGTTTCAGTACTAAATTTTTAACCCACAGTATACTTATTATAACACAAGGTAGCTCGCTGAGTGGAAAACTTAATCATAGAACGGTTTGTGCTGATCCCGCACAGAGATTTTGATTGGATAAAAATCTGTTTCTAAAATTACATCAGATAAACATCTTAATGTTTTCAGGTAAAGTTAGACGTAAACAAGTCCTATTTACTCACTTCAATATTTGAACAATGGAATTGAATTTTTTAAACAACTGGTTTTTTAATTTTGCTCTTTGCCCGAGACTAGTACATACCATTCTATGGTTGAGTTTGACTTTCCACCCAACAAGCAGAGTTTGGACGCTGATTACGGAGATACAAGTGAAGAAAATAGAGAAAAGCATGCCATATTATATGGGTGTGTAGATAAATTATCGTAGAAGAAATAGGTGTAAAAAGTTTACCCATGCATTTCCTCTTAAAGTGTAAATGAGCATGATTTTAAGGGAGGCGGTACTCCCTGTAATTTGGAGTTAGATACCTTGTGTTTTTATTATACTTTAGGTCAGAAATTTATTAAAGAAGCTGCATTTAACAAACTTCAGATCTCTTAACATGACCATATTTCTCACTTTAGAGACTGAGAGTATGTTCCCTATTTATAGAGCATGGTTTAGGGATTTTGAAATTTTCTGTCTTTTCAAATTCATCCGCATGGCACAGTGGTTAGAGCGTCTGCTCTAGAGTCGCAAAGTAAGGAGTTGATCCTTACATCTTGGGTTTGAATCTCACCGTGGGATGTGGAGACTTGTCCTTGGAATGATACAGTATAAACCGTGGCCCAATATCACAGTAGATATTGGCTCAAAAAAGATACCTTCCAGCTTAATGGCCCTGAGTGCCAAGCATAGGACAAAATTTGCAGCTCCCCACTGGTGTTTCCATATGAGTGAAAAATTCTTGAGAGGGATGTTAAACAAATCTGTCTGTTGAATTAAGTCATTGATATTAAACAATTGTATACATTAAAACTTATTTTATAGCAGAGGAACAAGAGAACCATGCAGTAACACAGATAAAAGATGCAGTTCCCAAGAGATCCAAAGTCGGCAGCTCCTAAGGCTATACTGACTGAATTATCATCACCCAAACAAATTGATACAAATCAAATACAGGTATGAAATTGATGCAACAAAATAATAATTATATATACATGTATGGATTTTTTTTTTTACAAGATGACTAATATACTAGTCAACATTGGCCAACTTTAAAAATGTTTGCCATAATTCATCAAATTTATATGGAAGCATCCTCAGGTAGTGAAGATTCAAGTTTGTTCAAATCATGACCCCCGGGGGTAGGGCGGGGCCAAAATGGCTGACCAAAGTTTTACATAGAAATATATAGGAAAATTCTTTGAAGAATAGCAAATCCATGATTGATCATGAGATTACTTTTGGATTTTAACTTTTCAATAATAAACCAATTCCTACTTTTTCACAGCTACAGTACTCAGGTGAGCGATGTGGCCCATGGGCCTCTTGTTCCTATATATTCCTATGTAAAGCTTGGGTCGACCATTTTGGTACCATCTTTGCCCCGGGGGTCATATTTTGAACAAACTTGAATCTACACTACCTGAGGATGATTCCACATGAGTTTCATCTTTCCTGGCCAAGGGGTTCTGGAGAAGAAGATTTTTAAAGATTTTTCCTATATATTCCTATGTAAAACTTGGGTCGGCCATTTTGGCCCCACCCTTGCCCCAGGGGGCATGATTTGAACAAACTTGAATCTACACTACAGACAACGGACAAATTTTGATCAGAAAAGCTCACTCGAGTCTTCGGCTCAGGTGAGCTAAAAAAAAACATTCTTTATATTATTTTTCAAATTTCATATGCTGATACATAATGATGAGAGCTTTCAACTGCATTAACATCTTCGACATAGGTCCTTCCTTTGACCTAGAACTTGCTTTTCTCCAATAAGACAATTAGCGTTAAAACTTCCAGACCTGTTTACTCTTACGATTTCACCTTATTTTGTACGGATTTTTAGTCTAAAATACGTCTCACGTTTTGCCATTATGAAAATACGGAAATCAGAAATACGTTAGTTTGGAATTTAACAGTTAGTTTTCGTTATGATCTGTCTTAGTTTCACCCTATTTATCGCTAAATAAGAGAAAAGATTTCAAACACAGAAGCGATGTCAGGTTGCCAAAACGCTTCGGTATTATGAAATGACAAAGACCTTGTTGTTTAACCATGTTTTTGTAATCAGAAAAGCAGTTTTTCTCTTTTAATATATTTAGAATTGTTGGAAAGTTAAATCTTACTGGCAAATGCCAAATATCACGGACAAATCTAATAAAAAATCCTGAGAGACAGCGTTATGGGTAAACAGGTCTGAACTTCATATGCTGAATTGCTGATGCATACTGATATAACCAATTCAACTACATCACTTTTCAAGATATTCTGAAATTTCACAGTTACACAAATTCAACTTTTCATGTTGCATTACTGATATACCCTTGGCGGGGCATTCATGTTCTATGGACATATTTCTACTGGTCTCTTTTGTGAATAATGATGCATTTACGAAGAAGAATTTCCATTCTTTTTCTGAGGTTGACTCATCTAGTAAAGTTTCCCACTTTTCTTTTTATATGCCCGGGCCCCAAGACCATAACCTGAGAATAGACTTAAAAATCAGAGTAATTTTTTAAAGAAAGTTCAAAATGAAACAAAATTTTCAAGTATGTTTATATCAAAATATTTACAAAACTTGCAATTTTTTAACCTTGTTCATTAAATAATAATGAAAATATTCAAAATCAAAATTTTGACTTAAGTCTATTCTCAGTTTATGGTTTTGGACCCTGATCTGAGGTGTGTATTGCTTTTGTCCTGTCTGTTGGCAACTTTAACCTCTGCCTTAACTTTTGAACCATGAGAGAGACTTCATATTTAATATGCATACTCCACTAATTAATGTCTTTCAAAAGACACCAAGGCCAATGACTTTGACCTTGACTGTGACTTATATGCTAAAATAGCTTATCTGAACATTAGCTATGACTTTTGATTCATTAAAGATAGGGACATCATTTTTTGAATGCTTTCTCCACTAATTAAGTGATCAAATGACACCAAGGTCAATGACCTTGTGACCTTACTGTGACTTTATCGATTTAAAAACCATTTTGAACTTTTGCCATACATTTTGAACCATTAAAGATAAAGACTTCATATATGATATGCATACTCCACTAATTAAGCTCTCTCAAATGACACCAATTCAATGACCTTGTTACCTTGACCTAGATGCTAAAAATAAATTTTTCGAATTTGTAAAAATGTCGCCAGGTGCAAAGTGTTTCACAAACAAATCTTGTTTTGAAGGAGTTTTAATATTTTCTGTAGAATTTTATAATACATATAAAAACCAAAAAATATATTCGAAATCAAATCATTTTTTTTTCAGTACTTTGTGACAGTGGGAAGATAGAATTTAAAAAATGGACATGGCACAATATTACTGCATCAGAGATCAATCCAGGTTTACTTATAATTTGAAGAAAAACAGTCAAGCATCATTTGGAGCTACATATGTCACTGCCTTAACAATATGCCAGCTTATATAACCAAGCAAGCACAGTGACCAGTTGTACCTATGATGTTGGAAGAGATCCTTAAAACCTTCCAGTACACTCATCACTACCTGCAAAGAAATAAAAATTCAAATGACTTGTATCAACACTTTTGTACTTCATCTGGCTTGTATTTTCAGTAATCATTAGCCTTTACACTGTTGCTTCCTTCAAACAAAATTGCATAAGTACTAACTTGCTGGTGTAAAATGTTTGAAACAGTTTGCTTGTCCCAAAGGAAATTCTCTGCCAATTAGCAGTGCATGAGCAATTGATTGATGTCACAGTTCCACTGGCAAAATATTTGTAGCTGAATGGTGCCATATCAAACACTTTTAACAAGAACTTGGAAACATCCTAGAAGTGAGAGCATCTACAAGAAATTAAGTGAATGCTTTCTTGAATGTTAACAATGTTATAAAATGCTTGTGTACATCTTATATATATATATATACAACTAATTACTCATGTATCTACCAAATATACAAAAATTAAACTTCTTTAAATTTGTTCTTGATGTTTATTTATAGTGTATTTAAATAAGTATCCAATATTTGTCTTGTTATACTGAAGGATTGTTAAGAAAATGTCGTTCGTTGAAACAAATGTGCAAACAAGTTACATTCTGCACAGATAGCAATTTTTGTGGAGAACCTATCAACATATATTTTCAATCGTTGGGATGTAATGTTAGGCAAACAGTAGGAGAATTATACTTGTTAACAAATGTATTTTATCAATCAAATTTCAAAAAGATGATTTAATAAGAAAGCAATGACAAATTTAACTAGAATTATGGTCCATTGATTTTATCACCATGGTGTGTGAGCTTTTGTGAACTTGATACTGAACTAGTAAGTTTGAAATATTGAAGTAAAGAAAAGTGCAGCCCAAAAATTTATCCTGTACCTGATTTAAAATGAGTCCCAGCATCAATTCTTGGAATATGCCATACTCTTCATGAGTATAAGAATTATTGGATATGCCTCAGTAACAGATCTATACTGGTACATGTAAATGAATGACACATTCAGCCGAAGCATTGTCCCTTTTTCGGTACCTCCTGGATCCCTGTAAAATATATGATGATAAAAGTAGATAAATGTTCCATCATAGAATGATGAATGTCCTATGGACCCAGTCATGGCCTGTTGGAAGACACCGTTTGATTGTTCTAGCTGTGTCTGTCTCTTAATTGTAAGTTTGATTGTTCTAGCTGTGTCTGTCTCTTAATTGTAAGAGTACTAGTATTTTGGAAGGGGGTCATAAGGCTTTACAGTTAATATAAATTGATTGTACATGTGTGTTGTTTAATGTCTTACAATTAATATTGAAAATGAGTAGATACATCCCTGTGTAAATTAAAAAAGTAATGTTGGACATTTTTATTTCTGAACTATTAACAAATTAAAGAAAAACATTCTATCAGGATTATGTTTAATCGACCCTGTATTTCTGTGATTGACAAATTTGGTCACATGCATTTCCTATTTGTTTTAATTAAATTTGCATTCTATATCCCAACTTCAGCTGCCCCGTGAGCTAAATCCAGGCACGTAGCAACAAGAGGGGGGGGGGATGCGCAACAATACCTCTTCTATGGAGAATGTACATTGAATGGTTTGTCCCCCCCCCCCCACTTCTTACCACAGTATAGAAAAACAGTATAGTGATATCATGGAAATGTATAGTATTTTATGCTATAAAAATTGAAAGTAATTTGGTCTTGAACAAAATTGGCCACTAACACACACACCCTCCTGAAATAGGAATATCGAGTTTGGTCAACGTTTACAGGTAAGTATAAAAAACAAATCTCTCTGGTTGTGCCCCCCCCCCCCACCCCGCCCTCTTTCAAAAACGATGCTATGTGCCTAAAATCAATATATGGAACCAATCTTTGGAGAACAATTTAGTTTGAAAACAATTTCAACTTACTTTTTACTCTATAAAATGCTCGTTACCCATTTGGAATAGCTTGTATGTACTGTATGTACGTAATTAACTAAAACAATAAAGCGATTAAGCGTTGTTTACCTATCTCAATCAATCCATTTTCTCCTTCTTCTTTTTCGATAATCAAAAAACGAACGATTTAACAAACATTTCTCTTTTCCTCAGAAAAATCATTTCACATCAACAGTACTAGTGATTTGAAACAATTAAAATACTACACAATCCAAGAATGACCAGGACGAATACTTAAAATCCAGCAATTTAAATTGATCATACATGTACATCATTTCATATCGCATGTATACCGTGCCATGTACACAAATGGTAAATGCTATAAAATTAAATTTTTACGGCTTTAATTTATTATGGACTCTAAAAAAATGCATAATTATAATATAAATAATGCTCTTTTTAAACTGTTTAATAAAATTTGTGTTTTCTGTCCCCTATTGTTAACCCGTTAAACGTCGGCGATGTGTATTGCAGCCGACCGACTTTAGCGTGGGAGAGACGCTATCTCGGCTACTTCCTTTGATGTGGCGAGAATGTGACGTAGAATTTAAAGTTCTCGACAGCAAAGCGTCAGCTCGTCACAAACAATGTAATCCTTTAGGTATTTTGCGATTGGCTCTAATGATCCTTATACTTACACAACTTGCAGACGTCAAAGTTTAACAATTTTAACTCGGCTTTTAACAATTATCAATCTTTCAATCACAACTTGCAGACGTCAAAGTTTACAATAGGAATATTGCGAATCCCGACCTCGATCATTTGTTTTGAAATCTCCGATAGGTGGCGCGACCGCTATCCTTCAGATACGAAGGATAAAATATATCCTCCAAAAACGGAGGCCGCAGAGACCTGTTATAGTGCCAAATTATATTCGGGAGTTCAGCAGTAAATTTAACTCAATAAATATATTTTTATAACTTATTTTTCAGTTTTTTTTTTCATTTTTAATGATCGTTAATTTTGATTTGATTGCATAGATAAATGTATTTAAGTTTTAGTTTTTAGATCTACCAACTTCCTTGAATTAAATGTTGCGTAAATCTAAAACATTCATCATTGATTGCCAATTTTATAAGAAATCTTCAGTTTGAACACTTCATTAATTATTTTAACGCATATCCTGGTAAATCAATTTAAAAAAAAAAATAGTTCTCGGACATGTATAAAATTACTTATCAAAACGTCCTCTTGCTGAAACGCCGCCCGTGTACTGTGTAAAATAGATTTTGATATTAAAATATTATTTAATATTTAGTATAATGCACTCTGAAGAGTAATTCAACAGAAAAGAGAAATTATTTTTTTGAAAAATATTTTTCTTTACACTTTACGCAAAGAATTAACGAACTTCTCAGGAAAACTTGTAACTATTTCATTGTGACGCAATATTATGACGTCACTGGTACATCAATGGAAACGTGGATTTAACCTGAATATTTAATAATTTAGCCAATTTAATCTAAATATTATGTTTGGACGCGAAAATGAATTATATTTTCAAAATAAATTAATTTTTGTTTAATAATTTTCTTAAGTGTATCGATTCTAAATATTTCACTAGGAATCCGATGAAAATGTATTTTGCAGATTTACCGATGACACGGGAGATAACTCTTGCATCGGAAATTTTCATTAAAACGTCTATATATTTTGCCAGAAAACTTCTATTAAAAGTGTTTTTCCCAATGATTTTATTTTTTAAACAAAAAGATGAAATATTTCTAGATTTATTTAAGTGTGAATTATAGTCCTGTTAAAATTTTATTAGAAATTACAGCTCTTTGTTTCTTACCTACTTTCAATGGTTTATATAGGGGAATTCAAAAACACAAAACACAAGGATATTTTACTAAATAAGCAATTTTCAAACAAATCTTCAGTTACATTTTTCCTTTTGGACTACATTGATATTGTTTTTAATAAAATACCAAATATTCATCACGTTCGATGTGCCGCCTATTAATACAATACTGCCTGGTTTTTCGGTGGACTGCCTCTTAAATTCATTTCAGCCAGTCGATCAAAAACTTGTTCAAGATTGGCTATATATTCTTCAAAATTCCTTTCGTACACTATAATGTCATCTAAGTATAACACGGCTACTTTCCACTGTAATCCACTCAACGTCTTTTCTATGATTCGTTGAAATGTGGCTGGCGCATTGCATAAACCAAACGGCAAGACAGTGTATTGAAACAATCCACCTCTAGGTGTCGCAAAAGCTGTTTTCTGCTTATCCTGTTCTGCTATAGGTACCTGGTGATAAGCCATATTTAAATCCAGTGTTGAAAACCATTTAGATCCCGCGAGGCCATCCAGATCATCCTCTGTTCTAGGAATGGGGTAGGCATCTTTTATCGTTACTGCATTAAGACGGCGGTGATCTACACATACACGCCAGCTTCCATCTTTCTTTTAACTAGTACTAGTTGCGAGGGCCATGGACTGCTTGATTTTTCTACCAGGCCCTGTTTCTCTTATGTTTGTATTTCAGCATCTAAAATCTCTCTTTTGAAAATTGGCACTTGTCTCGGTGCTTCTTTGAATGGCTCCTCGTCCATTAGCTTAATACGATGCTCTCCAATTGCAACCCGTTCCATTTTACTCTCTGGGTTAGCAAACACACGGTCTCTCCGAATAAGGAATTCCTTGTATTTCTTGGACTCCTCCTCAGTCAAATGTTCACATCCATCCTCATAGACGGCCTTCAAATGTTGCGATAGCTCGCTGTTTTCCTCAGTAACAGCGCTAATCTCATCATTACATATATCAATTGGTTCACTCACATACTCCACTGGTATGAATAATGCCATTAATGTACCCCTCTTGATCGAAATTGGTTTTTCTCGGGAATTAAACACACGTAAAAACACATCACATGTTTCCGCATTCAGTAGCGATTTTGCGACTGCCACTTAATTTATGAGATTGTACGAAATTTTGAACTGGTAGTGGTAATCCATTTATTTGTTTCCCATAAGTAATCCTGGATGGTATAATTGCTTCCTGGTTTCCTGGAATTTCTACGGTCTCTATGCAACAAATATAGTTAGTTCGTTTTCCATTTCCGTAGTCACACTTCATTAGGAGTTCATTGGTGTCATGATCCCAAACACATTTATATTTCACGTAAAAATCTTCTCCCAACAAATTTTTCTTCACTCCACCTACAAATATTCGCTGTTCTAATTCCACATCTACTAGTGTTAAAATCATTTTAGCAGTTCCTATGGTTTTTATTGTTTGTCCGTCGGCTGCTAGGAACTTTGTCCTTACTCGTTCTAGTACGGGCCTATTTTCCGGAAAGATATTGTAATAGGTTTCCTCTGTTATAAATGATCTTCTCGCACCTGTATCTACTTTCCAAATAACATTTGCTCCCTGAATCATTCCTTCAACATGAAAGCCACTTTTTCCTGGAATCTGTATCTCACTAACAAATTCTAAATTTTCACTACTAACATCAACACAAATGAAATTACTAGATACACTTGTTGACTTGGAAACTTGGTCAGCTTTGTTGAGCTGCAATTCTCCAGAACTATCTGCCTGAATAACACTTCTGTGTTTCTTTTGCGCTCTTTTAGAAACTTCCACTGCCAAATCCAAGGAGAGATCACAATTCATTGATGTACTAGGCCTTTCAGGATTTTCGACCGGCGCATGGCCTACTGCCTCGGTCCTTGGCGGTTTAACGGCCGCCTACTGTTCTGCTTTAGGGTAGATCTAAAATGGGTTTTATTGTCCTCCTTTCTTCTTGGACAGTTGAAGGAAAGATGGTCTGTTGAATTGCAAGTGAAACATCTCTTCTGCTGACGTTTGTCCTGGTTATTAAACTTTTGTCGTTTATTCCACTTTCTCTTGGAATTTGTGTCTGATGACTCAAGAGGATCGTTGACAGCATACACAGCTCGTCTGTTAAATTTGACGATCAAATCCCTGTTATTCTCTCCTAGGCGAATGCATTCTTCTTGCATTGCCGCTGTAATAGCTTCCTGCAAAGTTTTAGGCCGTATTCGTTTCACAGCAAAACGAAATTCGTTCTCATGACTACAGTTATCCAAAAAGGTTTTCATACTACTCTCTTGTACAAAATCCCGGTTGTCAGGGTAAGCTTTCCTGTATAGATCCTCAATCGCCTGTCCAAAGTCTCGAAAAGTTTCATCAACTCTCTTTTTCCGCATTTTGGCTTCCGCAATCTAACTTTCTTTCATTGCTCTATGACCGAACCGATTTTCCTTAGCACATTTAAGATCCGCCCAGTTGTTCCGAGTATCTGCAGGGAGACCATAGGCAAACGTTTCTGCTTGTCCACACAATACTGTAAAGAATATTTTACGTGCCTTATCGTCGTTCCAATCGATTATGGACTTCACATTTTCATTGAATCTTATATATTCTGCCCATATATCTTCCCCATCTCCTTTGAACGTCCTCTTTACAGGTATCTGATAGCCTGGATTAGTATGAGAACTCGACAGATTCCGTTCCGTTGGAGAACCTTGCCGTCTCCTGATAGGTAGAACTGGACTAGCTGTTTGTTTCTGGGGAAATCGGACGTGCTGCTGAGGTCTAATGCGAGCCGGGATGTACTGGTATTCTCTACTCGGAGTTCTACTCCATAGCTTTATAATCACAGTAACCAGAATAAAGCACAATAGTCATGGGGCTGCAGAAAACATAAATTCCTTCGTCAAACACAGGAACATATACCCTGGGAAATACTGATAGAACAAATAAGCACCTACATATCCTAGAAATAATATAATGGTCCAAAGAGAAATAAATCTGTTCCACGTTTCAGAAACCTATTCTAATCTCAAGTTCTGTCCGACTTTGTTTTCATCATCATTCGGTGTACTGGTGCAAAACGGTGCCAGTCCTTCCGCACTTTCCAGAGCTGGTGGACTATTTTCACTTTCATTAAAACTACTCAGAAAAGATCTGCGTGTGCTCCTCTGAAATCTAGGTGTTCAGTCTCGTTTCCCCGCGTAAGCTCCATACTTCTCGGTGTTTAAGTTGTCCGGCCTCTAGTCATTTTTGTGTTTTAACAATCGTATGTTTTAATTCTGCACCTACACGCTGGGCACTTTTAATATCGGCTCAACACATTTCCATTTGTATTTTGAATGAAACACAAATTGTCTTTCTTATTAAACATTACAGAACAGGTAGGACACTCTTTACGCAATGCGACGTCTATCCTTCC